AATAATAAAAAAAAACTTTAGGGGTGGGGGAAATCACACATTCACATCAATGAACATCATGACATTACTGGTCCATATTGAGGATGAAGATGACAAAAACATGACAGGATATGACTTTACACTGGCCTTCCTCATGCTTCTGCAATGAACGAGTGCAGTTTGGAAAGGCAAAATATTCATCCCGTTTACTGGAGCTGCATGTCGAGGTCGTATAAACTAGTAGCTTCAAAATAAAAACCTTTTCATTCAGCAGCCAATCACAAATCAATATCTACTGAAGTGCAGAGAGATGACAGAAAGATGGAAAGAAAGAAACATGTAGAGGATTCTCACTCGGTTTGGTATGGAAGCCCATTTCTGCCACAGAAGGAAAGAAAATCATGCTTTTTGGACAATCAATCATACATGAAGAGTAGAAATTAGGAGACAAAAGGGGAAAATATGAGACCTTTTGAAGTCTGTAAATGTTGAAATTGTAAGATATCGAGTTGTAATTTATAGGTAAGAAGTGTAGTTCATTTATAAAAATTTAAAAATATAAGTTTAAAAAAATGCCATAATTAATTAAAAAGTGAACTGTCAGCAGACAAAATTCAATTGACTCAAAAAATAAAAAATATCAGACAGGCGTTATGACAAAGACATAGGCATGTGATTAAAAAGGACATCGTGACATCAACTAAGTCGTGAACGACAAAAAGTCAAAAATGTCAAACATTCTGAGATAAGTTGACATCAATCATACTTTTTATCGTACTAAAAAAATTTAAACATTTCTTATAGTAATGAGATGTAATTATAATATTTTAATAATTAAATATTTTTATATATAATATTTTAATCATTAAATTTTTTAAATATAATTTAATTATTATTATTACATATTTTAATTATGAGGGGAAATATAAACATGATGTCAGGTAAAAAATTAATAAATTAGTAATAAATAAGGGTTGAATTTGTCATGGAAATGAGATATAAAACCATAATTAGGAGACAAAAAGAACGTTATGATTTAAATTGGCAAGTCAAAATGTAAATTTAAGAAATGTTTTAAACATGAGATGCTATTTGTATACAAAAAGTAAATTAGTAAATGTTATTTATGAAAAAATATTATCAGAGATATAGTGAAAATGTCCTTGCTCTGTTAAACATCATTTGCAAAATATTTAAATAAATGAAAAAAAAATAATTAAAAGGGGGCCAATAATGCTGACTTCAACTGTATATATTTGCACTTTTTGCTGTTTGGCAACATTTTTTTCATTGGGACTTTTTAATAATCTAATTTGTGAATTAAAACTGCATGTCAATTTTGAGATATGTATTTGACTCCTAAACATTGTCATAACTTTATTGAGTAGTTTTGACATGTCAATTCAAGCTAATGTCACTCAGTGCAGTTGCTGTAAAAAAAAAAAAAAAAAAAAAGAAGTAAACTAACTAAAAGTTTTGTGTTTTGCTATTCATGTTTTAAATTTAAATTTATTGATGCTTTTGAATTGCATTACGGGACCTTGATATTTCCTCCAAGTTTTAAAGTCAAAAAGTTTGAAAAAGTGACTTTTTCAATGAACTGATATATTGTCTGCATTGTTGTAAGTTATAATGAAAAGACCTGGTAATGATCTAACAGAACTTTTTTGCTGTTGTTTTATGCACTTAATTCGCTATATATTATTTCTTATACAATAAATCGTTTCAAACTACTAAAAAATCAACAAGTCACATTTTCAACATACAAAGTTGACAGAGAAGAGATCAAGGTCCCGTAATTCAATTTATAACCGATAATAAACAAAAAAAGTCACAAAATATGTAAACCTAATTAACAGATTTCATCATAATATAAACACTTCAGAATTACTGTTCAAAAACAGACTTTTCATCCTAAAAGTGATCCAAATCTCAAAGTGATACTTAATCTCACGAGTTTCATTTTTAACCATAATTATGTCTTCATCTGATAAGAGTGACTGACTTCATCAAATAATTTTCACTTTTCATCTGATAAATGATGTAAAACTTGATGATTATTTGTAAAATAATTATTTGCATGACTTGAATTCATATATTTGATAAAATTTATGTCATACACTGTAAAAAATGCTGGGTTACGCACAAATATTTAATGTTGTCCCAACACAAGTCGATTAAGTTAACTTAATCGTTTTTACAAATTTAAGTGCATTCAACATAAAACAATCGAGTTGTCTCAAAAACCACTTAAGAATTGTGTTGTTTCAGTTTAATTTAAATGGTCACACTTTATTTTGATGCTCTGTTTGTTGAATGCATCTAGATGTCAACTAATTCTCATTAGACTGTTAGATTGTGGTTAGGGTATGTTGACATGTACTTGCAAAGTTTCTTATAGTGAGTTAAATGTCTGTTGAAGGAGCAGTATCAACAGAGTTGATGATTGAGCAGACAGTCTACATAACACTCAAATAGACCATCAAAATAAGTGTTTCATTTTAAATAAATGATTTAAACAAGCAGCAAAAGTCTTTTTTGAGTGATATTTCATGACCAAGACCAAGCATAACTTTTTTTGCCCTCTCGGGGTGGAAATGGGCTTCCACAGTTTGGTAATATACATCACACAGTGATCATATAAGAACAGGCACATTCTATTCATAGTCACGACGCTCCATCAAAGCAGAAACTTTCCTGCACCTCAAAAGCAGAGACACACAAGCACTTGTAGAGCGACATCTAAACCCAAACCAAAGAAAGAAAAAAACAAAACAACTGGTCTTTTTCTGTCCCTCAGGAAACCCGCAGTCCTGAAGTATTGACGACATTTTACTATGAGCATCACGTCACTTTTGAACGGTCACAAAACGTCTGAAACCATGATCCTCACAGAGATGCTGCTGTTGAAAACACCGAGAGCGCAGGTAATGAGCATCACGTCTGCGTTTCACTGCAAACTGATAGCGTAATGTCACTATCGTCCTACTCGCCGCAGGAATGAGGAAACAGTGTTGTGGTTTTCTTCAGCGCTCCATTCAAATCAATGACATGGAGATCAAGAGGAAGCTGGGAAACAGAGGAAAGGTTTGAAGGGGTAGAGCTCTCAGAAATAGACATCTTCTGTTATCACTTAACTGTCCTTTGTGTTGTTGTTAGAACAAAAAAAAAACAGATGTTTTGACAAATGTTTGGGCTGCTCTTTTCCATACAATGGCAGCAAATGGTGCCCTTGAATAAAGCACCATAAAAGTATAAGTGGTCCACGGGATTTGTTCACTATATTCTTCGTTTTCTGAAGCCGGAGGGGCAAACAGACTAAAGTAAAAAATTTTTGCTTGAAAGCTGTGGTCACCATTCACTAGCATTGTGTGAAAAGAGCAGCTTGCACCCATCATGTTTATTTATTTAACTTATTTAATTGTGTATGCATGTGTGTCTATGACATTTTCATTCATTCATTCATTCATTTTCTTGTCGGCTTAGTCCCTTTATTAATCTGGGGTCGCCACAGCGGAATGAACCGCCAACTTATCCAGCAAGTTTTTACGCAGCGGATGCCCTGCTAGCCGCAACCCATCTCTGGGAAATCTATGACATTTTGTTTATTTTTATTTTAGTTCATTCATTTATTTTCTTTCAGCTTAGTCCCTGATTATCAGGGGTCGCCACAGCGGAATGAACCGCCAACTATTCTGGCATATGTTTTATGTAGCGGATGTCCTTCCAGTCACAACCCAGTAGTAGGGAATACCCTGTACACACTCATTCACACACTAATACACAACGGCCAATATAGTTTATTCAGTTCACTTATATACCGCATGTCTTTGGACCTGTGGGGGAAACCGGAGCATTCAGAGGAAACCCACGCGAACACGAGGAGAACATGCAAACTCCACATAGAAATAGCAATTGGCCCAGGCAGGACTCAAACCAGCAACCTTTTTGCTGTGAGGTGACAGTGCTAGCCACTAAGTCACTGTGCCACCTAAATTTGAGCTTGTTTAACTTTATTTTTTAATTAAGTGACCCAAACTGAAAATAAAAAAATTTTGCTTGTGGAAATCTATTATATGTCATGCGACAAAAAGGGACTTAGTTTAATGGCTTTAATTTTACTCAACTGTAATCGACCTGGGATGCATGACTGGCTCATGAAAAAAGCTATAGGTGACCTTTTATTTAAAAGCGGAATTTATGTAATGTCCCTAAATCTTGTAAAAACTAAATATATAGTATATGTTAATAGTTTTTTTATTTATATTTATAAAGAAATGTGTCTAGCCTACAGTAAATGACATGGGCCTAGTGGTTAGAACATTTTTGCAGTGGTTTGAATGTATCAAATTGTAAAGTAGACTTTAAAAAAATAATAATAAATAAACAATATCCAACCTAATAATAATAATAATAATAATAATTATTATTATTATTATAAATATGACTTTTTTCTTTTCTTAAAGAATGGCCTTTTGTAAAGAACAACCATTAACAATTTATTTGACTTATATACAAGATTAGAATACTGTTAGATAACGCGTTTTATGTTTTAGAAAAGAATATGGAATATTCTCAATAATATTTGTAAAGGAAGCATAGCCCCTATATGTGCCGCTTATGTATATTTCTGTTAATAATGAAAACGAGTGCATGTTTTTACCAAAATTAATATTGGATTTTTTTTTATGTGTGTGCGTGTAAAACAATAGAATTTGCACAAAAAATTGGGGAGTTTTCTCTAAAGACGTTACTCCGCCCCATTTAGAGCATCCTTGATGAGGTTTCACATTATAACTAATGTGGTTCTAGCGATGGAAATGCGACAAAGCAACTGCGGTTTTGGGAAACACTCATCACTACATCGTTCTTTTCCCAAACGATGCATCGTACTATGATAGTTCAGCCGTGAGTTACTTTGTTGTTTGAGAAACGCACCCCTGCAATTAATATTAAATCAACAAAAACTAAAAACGATGTTTTCACATAACAACAAACTAATAATAATGATTACTGAACCGTAAATTTACTTATATTTATACACAGTAGTCAACAATTGAAACGGATCAAAAAAAGTTTTTCAAAATTGTACTGAAACAAGAATAGGTGTTGTCGATAATATACATGCAATATATGTAATAAACATTCATTCATTCATTTTCCTGCAGCTTAGTCCCTTTATTCATCAGGAGTCGCCACAGCGGCATAAACCGCCAACTTATCCAGCATATTTTTTTACATAGTGGAATGGCCTTCCAGCTGCAACCCAGTACTGGGAAACATCCATACACACTCATTCACACACACATGCACTAAGGACAATTTAGCTTGTTCAATTAACCTATACCGCATTTCTTTGGACTGTGGGGGAAACCGGAGCACCCGGAGTAACAAGCAAACTCCACACAGAAATGGCAACTGGCCCAGGCGGCACTCAAACCAGCGACCTTCTTGCTGCTAACCACTGAGCCACCATTTCACCCTAAGTTATAAACAAATATATGTAAAGTAATATAGCACCAGAATTGTGCCAAACAGCATTTATGCTGCTTAGGAATAAAAAAAAAGAAAGAAAAAATATTTTGACCAGCACCAGGGTGAGTAAATGATAGCAGAATGGGCATTTCTAAAATGACTACCCCTTTAAACAAACCGTAGAAGAAGAAAAAAAAACGAGTCCTGGTCTCTGAATGCATAACAGACTGGACAAACACTTCACAGAAGGGTCACTACAGAGGGAGAGAGACAAAGAGGCGAGCGAGAGCACAGCGTCACTGCTTGTCCTGTTCTTCTTCCTCCTCCTCTTCCTCTTCCTCATCAAAAGAAAGGGCTCCAGAAGTGTCGGAGATGCTCCGGCAGTGTCTGTACCAGCGGATGACTTCCTGAAACACGTTGTCCTCTCCTTCCTCTCTGTCGTCCTGGTCTTCCTCCTCAGGCGACAGGCCGGATTCCGAGTAGGATGTGGAGTAGTAGCAGGAGTCTCCTTTGCTCCACAGAGGCCTGCGCTCTGCTTTGTGAAGCGCACACGTGGCCTGTTCGCCATCTGCTTCTGAAAGCTGGATCTCCTGGGTCGGTGCTGGGTCTTCGTCTGGGTTGAGAAGGTCTTCGGAGTCCGTCTGAATGAGAGGGAGTTCAGACGTGTGCGATTCGGTCTGATTTGACAACGAGCATCTCTGATTGGATAATACAGCGTCTGAGGGAGGAGCAAAGTGTGAGAATACCTATAGATGTGGATCAGAAGATGGAGACAGACAGAAAGATGGTATGAAGGACAGATGGTAACAAAAAAGGAGAAATTGACAAGATGGTTCACTCAGGAATGACATTTGAAGGCAATTTTGTCACCCTTAGGTCATGTTTATTATTTTTTACTTCAGTAGAGCATTGAAGTCTCTGTGAAATTAAATTGAACATATTTCTTTGGTTAGCTCACATTGTTAGGGGAACAATTAATCTGTGCAAAATCAATCAACTTGAAAAAAAAAGGTTGTTTTGGTAATCTTTAATCAAAGTCTGAACATTTGCTTCTGCATTTATAGTGCTGGTCCTTCTGATAAAGGTGCAGTAGGTGATTGTCTTCAGAAACATTTTTTGTTGTGATGGTTGAAAGTCTTTTCATTATATCTTATAGATATATTATAGATATATTCATTATATCTTCACAGAAGTGTTGATCAGCCACTAAAATCTTCAGGTGAAAGATTGATAAGACTATTTTTCAGTTTCAAAAGGGACCTTTTTCAGCATCGATAATGTAGATTTTAATTAGTTTAACAACAAAACAAAAGTACAAAGCGCTATTCCGCCTAGTCTCTCCTTATTTTGTTTACCATGCAACTCTAAAAATTCACTCTGAAATAGCATGTCAGTTTGGCTTGCACGCCGCCGGACAAGCACAAGTCGCTTTTAACACATGAGAGAGGGTTCTTCTGCTGTGCTCGTGTTTAAGGAGGCATGGCTCTAGATGGCAGGGAAAGGAATGTGATTCAGAGATTTATGCTAAGCTGTTATCTTTGTGGAAGATCGCCTACTGCACCTTTAATGTCTATCTGATGGCTTCCATAGCCATTATATATATACAGGTTGAGCCATTTATATCGATACACCTTTATAAAATAGGAATAGTTGGTGATATTAACGTCCTGTTTGTGGCACATTGGTATATGTGAGGGGGCAAACTTTTCAAGATGGATGGTGACCATGGTGGCCATTTTGAAATCGGCCATCTTGGATCCAACTTCTGTTTTTTGCAATAGGAAGAGGGTCATTTGACACATCAAACTTATTGGGAATTTTAAATGAAAAACAATGGTGTGCTTGGTTTTAACTGGTTTGTGCTTGGTAACTTTATTCTTTTATGAGTTAATTACTAGTTACTGACCACTTATAAAATGTGTTCAATGTGCTGCCCATTGTGTTGGATTGTCATTGCAACCCTCTTCTCCCACTCTTCACACACTGATAGCAACACCGCAGGAGAAATGCCAGCACAGGCTTCCAGTACCCGTAGTTTCAGATGCTGCACATCTTGTATCTTCACACCAAAGACAAGAAATATAGTGGGGTCATTCTTCATCAATGGAAACCTCAAGGCCACTGGATATTTGAAATTGCTCCATGAGGATGTGTTTTCCTCTTTATGCACTGAAGCTGGCACATTCCCTGAGTTTTTCCAGCAAGATTGTGCATCACCACATTATGGGTGTCAGGTCCAAGCATTCCTAGATAAACAGTTACCTGAAAAGTGAATTAGTCATCGTGGGCCAGTTGAACGGCCCCCAAGGTCTCCTGATCTGACCCCCTTCGACTGTTATCTTTGGGGTCATCTGAAGGCAATTGTCTATGGTGTGAAGATACAAGATGTGCAGCATCTGAAACTACGGATACTGGAAGCCTGTGCTGGCATTTCTCCTGCGGTGTTGCTATCAGTGTGCGTTAAAGTGGGAGAAGAGGGTTTCATTGACAATCCAACACAATGGGCAGCACATTGAACACATTTTATAAGTGGTCAGTAACTTGTAATTAACTCATGAAAGAATAGAAAGAATCACTTCAAAATGGCCACCATGGTCTCCACCTATCTTGAAAAGTTTGCCCCCTCATATATACTAATGAGCCACAAACAGGACGTTAATATCACCAACCATTTCCATTTTATAAAGGTGTAGCCATATAAATGGCACACCCTGTATAATAAATATTTATTTAATAACAATAACACTCTTAGGGAATGAAGCCCAATAGAAAGCCCCAGCCCTACTCAATATTCTGTTTCAGTTGAAAGTACAGTGCTACTTCCAATTTATACAGAATTTATGCAATATTTTGAGCAGTTTAGTAGATCCTATACAGAGACTAAAATGGTGTATTAAATTTAATAGTTATGGCAGCACGATATTAGAAAAGACATTGCAATATTGTATTTATATACACTATATATTGCGATACTGAATATATAATTTCACCATATGAAATGAATAGCCCTATTTGGAAGAAATATATTATTTTTATATAGATTTTTCTTAATGTATCTTTAGCATGAGACGTTAAACCGATGTCCTGACTCTCTGTGGTCATTAAAAATCCCATGGTACTTCTTGTAAAGAGTAGAGATCTAACCCCGGTAAAATTTCGAATAATCGAAATTCCCTCGATTTCCCCTTACCCATTATGGCCTCCCAATCAACCCCATCCACCGAATTGACACTATCACTCCCCGTAGCTGATGTGTGGTGAGTGCACTGGCCCCATTATCCTGTGGCTGCCGTCACATCATCCAAGTGGATGCTGCACACTGGTGGTGGAGTAGGGAGACCCCCCTCATGATTGTGATGTGCTTTGGGTGTATGGCTATACATGATAAATGTGCTGTATAAACACACAGTACATTACATTCAATAGATTTGGATCATTAAGAAATGCAGTCGAGCAACAATACTGTACAAATAAAATATACAGTGCTTTATGACTTTCTGTAACTTTCATGAACTTTGTGTTGTAGGGGCATGATTATGATGTAGCGCCTGTTGTTGATGTCTCAGGGGAAATCGGACAACAGTTCAAACTAGGCTTGGCTCAGTCGTAAGCACTGCTAAAAGCTTTCCTCACCCAAGTATAGTTTCTGGAGGAGTTGATGAACTCACAGAGCTGGGTGCATCTCTAGAAGGATTTAGTGGACGCAGACATGGCGCTGAACAAATCAACGCTGTTTTTCAGCCTTCATAAAGCACATAAACACAGCTTTTCTCTCAATAAAATCCATGTTAGCCATTTAGCAACAAATCTAGAGTCACCGGGCAGACAGAAGCTCTGCCCATGACGCGAATCCACATCTATTGTGAAGTGAATTTGAGGCATGAATGAAGTGAGTTATCTCTATATGTTCACATGTCTATTAATGCAGTAATACAGCAATTTATCTACGTGTGCCATGTCTGGTGTGAACACAACATGATGCCTGAATATTTTTAATTGATTTAAATGATAAAAAAAACACAACTATTAAATGTCTTAGCAACTTTATGGTTAAACGTTGCAATGACTCACCAAATCATAAGTGTTTTCAAATTTGGCTCCTAGTCAATTATAATACTGGTTCAACATAGCAGATCCTGTGATGTGACTATTGCAGATGTGTATACTGTGATAACGGTGATGAAACATAATATTGTGCTGCCATAGTAGTAATATTGTATATAATGTTTAGTTTTTTGTACAAACCAATGGTTTTCCTTCATAAGACTTCAATGTAAGGTCAGGAGTAATAGACACTCATTTAACATTGCTTGAATAGTAGCAAAATATTGCAAAAAGCAGTTGTTGGTTTGCATTTTATGAATCTGCACGATGTCAGCTAAAGACTTCTTTGATGTTTTAGTAGATGTGGTAGAGCAAATTAACAGCAAACTGTCATTTCTGGGTTAACTGTCCTTGGAAGACAAGCAGAAACACAATAACAAAAGTGTGGAAGAGATGAATAGAGACAAAACTGCTGATGTTCAACGGAAATACACCAAAAAAAAACCATTCGTTGTGACATCTGAGAAAAAGACAAACACACACAGTCTGCAAAATGTATCTGGACATAAAATGTCCAAAGATCAAACCCTGGGGCATTTGATAAAATAAATGTCAAGTTTCTCTCAGAACCAATTTCACTTTTTCAGGGACACGTTATACAAGTATAAAATGGCAATATAGAGCTGTTAAAATAAAATATAAGTATGTTGTAACATTATTAATATCTTTACCACCTTTACCTAATTTAATAAATCCATGTGAATGAAGAAAATTAATTTCCTATTAAAATAGAATAAACTTCAAAATTATTCTGTAATCATGTACGCAGCTCCATGACACTTGGGTCACAGTTTGATTTAATTTTAAAACACAGTTCTTGATTTTAACAAATGATAAACTAAGACTATAAAATAATAAATACTAAGTTGCTGCTTATTAATATTTATAAAGGTAGTAGTTGAATTTAGGTACTGAGTAGGATTAGGGATGCAGAATAAATGCTAATAAACAGCCAAAATACTACTAGTAAGCATGTTATAAGCCAGAATTTAGCAGTGGAAACTGTTACCTAACCTAAAGTGTTAGCAATATTTACTTAGGTAGTACATCTGTATCTGGTTTAATCATTAGGGAAGTTTCTAGGCTCTACCCATGCTCACCTGAGCTCAAAGTGGTTGTGATGGGTTCATGATTTAGAGGGGGATCTTCTTCATAAGACTCTTCCTCCATCTCCTCCTCATCTACCGAAGTCCACGCACGGAGCTTCGCCTCAGCAATAGCAAACTGCTCTGCCACACCTAAAAAAAAAGTGGAACGCTATTGAATGACACTGGACTTTACAAAGACACTAATCACAAAGACAGCAGTGCAACAAAATCTCTTTTTAATCAGCGTTGGCGTTAACGTTTTCTGATGAGGCTTTTGTCCTCGTTGAACAAAAGGGTGCTGCTGAGAGGTTTAGCTGTGGTAAATGCACTGAAGCAGAGTTCCCTCCACTAATATTAGCCCCTCTTGGGAAAGATGAGCAAAGGTGGCTTGGGGAAAATGTCTTTTTGACCCTCTCCTTTAGGGCTGGGCGATTTGAGCAAAAATCACTATCTCGATTAATTGAACATTTTAACTTGATTACGTTTAATGAACGATTATTTTATTAGTTTATTTTATTTTTTGTCATCATAATTCACTGATATGTTTTGTACAGTAAATATGCTCACATATTACAAGTAAGAGATTTTTGAAGGTAGGGTGATTTTAAAATAATTGAAAAAAAAACACACACTATCAACTATCTATTTAAACTATCTCCTGCACTTTTGGAAACAAAAATAATTATTTTCAGCGTTTTCAAAAGTAGAAAATAAAGCAGTATCTCTTCTAAATAAACTCTTGTATAACCTGTAAATATTTTTTTTAAACAGTGCATTTCTTGCATCTACTGTAAAAAAACTTTTTCGTGTTAATAATTATTTAATTGTAATAGAAAATATGCCGTCTCAAGGCATCTTGGTGCAGCTTCAAATCATCATCAATGTAGTGCAAAGTAATTGAAAAAAATCGTCCTGGAAAATTTTGATCAATTATAGGTTCTGAATGTCAATTTCAATTACTTTTCGATTAATCAACCAGGGTTGCTCTGCTCAAAATATTACCATGAGTTTGTTTTAGATGAGAGTACAGGCTTTTTTTCTTGAAACCCTGTATGTTTACACACTTTTGCTGCATTTATAAAGTGTCCGTGTCTTGGGGTTGAACAACATTGATTTTTCGATGCACAATTTGAATGCACAGGAATCACAAGACTATTAAAAACAAACATAAAAAGACTGCAGGTTGAAGGAAAATTGAGCATTGAAGTACAGATAAAGAATAAAAAATGTACTCAAGTAAAAGAATACATTTTGTTAATCTGCTTAGTATAGTACCATTCCATAGAAACCACTCAATTACAGCAAGGCCGGAGTGGGACTCTTTTTCAGCCCTGGAGTTTCAAGCCTTAGACCGGCCTACCTCAGTTCACCACTGACTATCTTAAAATAAGGTCATTTCCAATTCAGTTTCTAATTACACTATCACGTCTTTTTTTTTTTTTTTTTTTGAGAAAACAGCTGTTTTAGAACTTCAAATGTTCAACAACCCTTACAGTATTATATGTCTTAACAATGAAAATGAAAAAAAAAATCTTCATAGACGAGGACCGAACCCAGGTTAACCGCATCTTAACCTAACGTGCTAACCACTGTACCACAACAGCTGTACTTTGAATGGTGACTTATCTAGTTATATCATCATTAACCTGAAGGCTGCATCCTGCTCACGAAGTTACGAGAAAATAGATAACAAGAGCAGAGCTGCGGTAAAATAATAAATAAGAAGGCTGTGGTCAAGTAAATAAATAAATTATATTTTAAAAGTGTGACTGCTGAGAGGAACAGATTCTGGAGCTAGGGACACCGGCCCTCGCGGCCAAAAAACGGACCGGCCCACCGGGAATTCTCCCAGTCCTCCCGATTAGCCAATCCGGGCCTGAATTACAGTATTCTGAGTATTTGTAATGTGTTACTGTATACACGGTGTTATATACTGTACTGTGTGGGAGTGTGTGCGCAAGCATATGTGCTTGTTGAGAATTTTCTTTTATATATTCTGAGCAAAAGGTTAAATAATAAAGTAGTTTTTTTTTTCCACAAGCATCTTTGCTTTGCTAGTGGAGGGCACAGTAAATCCTAAACTCAAAAGTGATGACAGCCAAACATGCGGCAGAGTATAAAAGTGAAGCAAAAGGAGGAGAGCTGGAAGACAGGATGAAGTGAAGTGACATGCAGGATCAGCAGGTGTAGCTGTGTGACTGTGTAATCTCATTTAACACCATCTGCTGAGTCTGAAAGCCTTCGGCTGCATCAAGATGCTGACTGACACCTGCGACAACTCCTGTTGCATATTTTACTGTGATGCTAACACTACTGCTAATGTTAATACAACTACTATTACTACTACTACTACTACTACTTCTACTACTACTACTACTACTACTAATAATAATAATAATAATAATAATAATAATAATAATAATAATAATAGACAACGCGGAGGCAGTGGCTAGGAAGAGGGTCGCTGGTTTATGTAACGGCTGGGTCAGATGGCATTTCTGTGTGGAGTTTACATGTTCTCCCCGTGATCATGTGGGTTTCCTCCGGGTGCTCCAGGTGAATTGGGTAAGGTAAAATTGTCATTAGTGTATGTGTGTGAATGAGAGTGTGTGGTGTTTTCTAGTGATGGGTTGCAGCTGGAAGGGCATCCGCTGCGTAAAACATATACTGCATAACTTGTCGGTTCATACCGCTGTGGCACCCCCTGATAAATAAAGGGACTAAACTGAAAAGAAAATGAACAAATGAATGAATACATTCTTTCATAATAGCCTAGGGATTTGGTCCACAGTATCTGTAAATCTAGGTTTGTCTAGGCCAGTGGTGTCCAGTTCTGCTCCTGAACAGTTTAGCTCCTGTACCCTAAATTAACACAGCTGATCCAGCTAATAAAGATCTTTCTGGACATTCTAAAAACTACCCTTCAGGACAGAAGTTTTACACTGTAAAAAGCCATTAGTTGACTGTACTTAATAATTACAAGGCTATGAGTTTGCTCTCTTTTTTCAGTAAACAAACTATGTGCATAACTATAAAAGTTAAGTTGAGTTAATGGGTTAACTGACTGTTTGTAAAGTAAAATCACTTTATTGCTCTTTAGGCAGCAGGTTTACTTATTTTTTAAAGGACTCCTATTTTACCCCTTTTTCAAGGTTTAAGAGAAGTCTTTTGTGTCTCCAGATAGTGTCAGTAAAGTTTCAGCTCAAAATACTCATCAGATTATTTATTATACCTTTCAGAATATTGGAATTTTCTGCACTGAACACAATGTAGCTGCTTTTGTTGCCTGTACCTTTAATGCTGGTTCTCCCCATCCACTATTCCCACATGCCTGTCAGTGTGTCTCTGTCTCCTTCTCCGTCAGATAAACAGCACAGTGACAGACATGAAGGAAGCAGATTCCACGTGATGTTTGTGAGAAATACTACAGTAAGAACTTTACCAATGATTATTTGAAGTATTTGCTGTGGATTTACAACAATGAGTCACACACAATGTCGTTACAAAGTTCACGCACACACAGATACACAAAGCGCACACATTTAACTTTGCACGGCAAATGTGACAAGATACAGGTTAATATTTACTGCTGTGTGGATATCTGTTGCTAATGTACAAAATAAAGCTGATTTAGTGTCTACAAACCAGGACTGAAGCGTCTACTTTTATAATTGTATTGACACGGGGCTGTGGTGATAAAGACGTTAAAATCAATGTAATTCATTACAAACATGCACTGTTTTAAAAATGTGTTAAACTTGTAAAACTTATTCTTGATCACATTTGATGATGATTGTTGATCACAGAGAGCTGAACAGATCTTTTAATGCCAGTTGCTTTGTCCACTTCCTGTCTTGTTGATATGGTTATACACGCTATGATGGAGACATTTTAATATGCAGCTGTCAATCAATTCAGTGGGCGGGTATACCGCTTTCCTATGTCCCATTGCGGTGGGCCTCAAAATGGGAGGGATTTGGATCCTATTTTTAACATCAGGAAATAAAATAAAAAAGACTTATTGTGTTTCTTCCACTCCAATATGACTGTGGACACACTATACCTCCACACAGTTCTGTCCAAACAGCTTACAAAAGATGATTTTCATCATAGGTGCCCTTTAAAGTAAAGTAACTAATTGCTTTTTACAGTGTACCCACAGTCATCAAGTACAGACTCACCGGCAGCAAATCTGGCCTCCTGCTCTCCTTCACTCAGATGACTGTACGAGTTGAAGTGGGACTGCAGTGTCGCAGACGGAGGGTCTAAAGGCTTGGACCAGCCCTTCCACTCGATCAGATGAGCCACACGACCCTGAGCCATTGCTGTGGGTTTGGTCACGTGGTCCTTCACCACCTGAGAGATTCCTGTCAGACAAAACCCAGGAGATCAGCTCCGTCTGTCGCCAACACACACAAATACACTCTCACTGAACACACAGGTCATTCACACGCTACCATTAAACGAAGATCTGGCCAGAGCTGCGATTTCCTGGATGCTGAGGGCTTTTCTTGACTTGGGGAGCATATCAATAGGGTCATCAACCTGCAGAAACAGCCAAATACAAAATGATGATGAAAGTTAAGCACAACTGTAGAAATTCAGCATGTTGTGCAAGTTCAGACATGCACTGTAATGTGTTGCAGTGTTGTAAAATAAATAGAACCAACTTGAATCTTTTTACTTTATATATGGTTTCATTTAGGTGCAATTAAAATCCTCTATATCTGCATATTTGTTATTTTTAAACTATTCAAACTGTATGTAAATACAGCTAAAACAGAACAATAGTAGCACATAATCAATGATGATATTATTATTTAGAGACTTTTATTCCATGTTGTTATTATTATTCAGATCCCAAATCAAAGCATTGCTAATTGTCATTAAAACTCATTAAACATTAATAATGTTCTTTGGAATTTTCAGTTCTTCAAGGATATAAATATATTATAAATATATATGGATCACAACCCACAGTTCAGAATGCACGTGACCTGTAGATTAATAACTTTTAGTAAGTTTTGTGTAGATTAATCCAACATTTAGAACAATTGCAGAGAGATGTTTATGGTAAAGATTAAAATCACAGTTTAATGGAACATGACGCTGGTCGTAGCAATTACATTGTGTAACCAATGAGTGGCGACAAACAATATTAAAATGATGTCACTGAATAGGTTTTCAAAAATGATCCACCTATAATGAAGCATTAAGTTTTATGTGTGAATTGTTGAATCATTCATTAAAATAAATATATGTTGTATAAGATGTTAGATTTCTATATTTAGCATTATCAGCGAAAGTAGCAAAGATCATTTTTGCATTGAATATTTTCCCTTTTATTTAGCTGCTTCTTTCTTGATTTTTATTTTGATTAAAATTACAGGTTCTACATTTTGTTTTTTTGAAACCAATGGTTTTTGCAGTATTATTTTTGTATAAATGGTAAGCAACTGACGTTTGTCTTCTCCTTTTATTGCTAATCTGAAAAATGGTCCAATTTGTGACTCAAAAACTGTAGTGTGATCTGAACTGTGAGATTTGTTATCTGTTACATCATTAATATATATATTAGAGGTGTAACAGATTACAAATCTCAAAGCAAAAAACAAACATATGTACTTGTCTTCAGAGTCACATGGTCCTTCAGGAATCATTATAATATATCTAAATTATATATAATATATATAATATAATATAATTCAGCTTTCAGTATCTTAGGACAGGCCTAATTGCAGCTATTTCATCCAAGCAGGGTTTTTCCAGCTGATTGCAATTGCTGCAGTTCCTTTAACAGCCTTTAAGGGTAATACGAAAAATACAGAGGCACTGTTCCAAACACATGTCTTTTACTTTCACTTTCAAATTCACCAGACACAGTGTTTCATTAGTAAGTGCTCATCCCTATCCATTGTGTTTGTACAGCATCTCTACTAATTACAGTAGCTTAAAAACTTTAAACACCAGCAATGGAAGCATCTCACTGTTTGCCATTTTGTGTTTTAGGTCATTTAGAACATTTATACAATGTAATAAACATGTATAATATCATTCATAATAATTATGATTAAAAATACATATGGATAATATATTCAAATATATTGAACAGAATTTTATTTGCGGTATATGTTCATATTTGGCTATATGTTGGATTCCTGTATGGGCCCCAAAACAGACAATTAATCATCATTGCACCAAATCAAACAAATACATCATCAAACTGAGCAATGACTGAGCAATTTCTATTATTTTTAAGACAATTAATCATTAGTCAAACTTCATAATTATGATATCTCAGGAGTATATTACATTTTGGTCATGCTTTACAATAAGGTTTCAATGGTGAATGTTTGTTAATATATTTACTAACATGAACAAGCGATGAAAAATATTTAAACAAAAATTAATAATCATTTACTAATCCATTGTTAAAAATCCAGAGCTGTGCATGTTAACATTAGTGTAGCATTAGTTAACATAAACTAACAATGAACAATTAAATTGCCACTGACTAACCTTGACACAGATGATTAAATACTGTAATAGTATAGTTCATATCTTGCTCATATAATATAAAATTAACTGACCAACATTAGCTAACAAATTAGTTACATTAGTCTTTTCAGAAACTTAGAAATAGAACTAACACTATCTCAAGCAAAAGATATCTTACTTATTTAACAACTGAAAATATAAAAATGTTTGCACAAATCAATAAATGCTGTAAAGTACTGTTACAACAACAAAAAACACCACCACCACAAACACATTTCTTCTAAAAAACCTGCTGTGAATGTCTTACACACAATTACTTTATTACTTTTTAATTTTTATTAAATTATTCTACTTAAACACCCTCTGGGGAACAATATTGGACCCCATCAATAAATCACCACCCAAACCTCCTACCTTTTGACATGTCCTCACGTGTTTCTCTTTCTCAGTGTACGGACGCATCGCAGAAAGCTGCCATTTCCACTCAAGACACAAATACAGAATAATAAGAGCTCAACATAAAAGCAAACGCTCTAAAGCCAGAGCAAACTCAATCTCCACCTCAGAAACAGATGCCAAATCCACAATTAACCCTTTGACAATTCACTCGCGCTCATCCAAGCTGAAGCATATGTTAGTCACATGAGCTGCGAGAGATCAGCCGCACATAATCAAAGCAGCTTATGCCTCAGACATATTTGGCCAATCAAAACTCTTCCGGTGCCTTGTTCCTTTGCAAACGGCACTCGCTGGCATGTCAGATAATATTAGCCCACAGGTTGATAATAAAAAAAAGTCTGGCCACAGCTGGGGGCTAATAACCCCTAGCATTTGACATTAATGGCTTACATGATAAAAATGCGAATTGACAAGTGACATTCATCAGTTTAAATAGAAAACCGACGTGTTTGATGAGTTACAAGGCAGCTGTTTGCAGACCTTTCAAGGTTATTCTCATAAACAAAAGCTGAAACAAAGATTAAATCTACGGGCCAAAACAACAATGTAAAATACAATAAAAATGTTATAATGATGGATACACTAAAACAAGATGAAACATAACAATTAATGAGAAACAAACTGAAATATATTTTTTATTATCACATAGCATCTATTTAGGAAACAGTGATAAATCCCAAAACAAAGCTGGATTGGAAGTTGGACTGAACTGCTTAATTAAATGCAAAGACCTTGACAATCTTTTTAATAAGCCAAGAACCTAATACATTACTAATAATCAATTAAATAATAATCCCTTTTATACAAATTGAAGTCTTTAAATACATGACTACATACAGGTTGCAGAAGCTAGACAATTGTCAGAGGCCACTTCCACAACCTAATATAGGCTACACTTTTTTGAATAATTTGAAATATTAAATAGCTAGCTAACAATATAGCTACATACCACTTTTTGTTCTTATGACCTGTATGACCAGTGGGACAAATAGCCTTGTGACTCTGTTTGATTTAAATGACTGGCTATTGACAAGCGGCAAAGTAATAAAATGGTGTTTAAAAATCAGCCTAACCATAAAAATAGGCTAAATGTCTTATAGAAAAATTGCATTTTGATAAATAGGAGGCAAGATGTTAAAAGATAAATAAAGATCCTATTTCTTTTCCTAGACAGAAAAAAATATTAAATTCCCTGACTTTCAATGTCTGGCATACACCTTTTAAAATACCATGACATTCCAGAAATTCTTTAACCCGTTGCAACCCTTATATAATAAAGGTAATAAGCGTTTGACTTGTAGTGGAAAATTTGCATATCACACTGTAAAAAATGCAGGGTTCCACCAAATTCATTCATATTGTCCCAACATAAATCAATTAAGTTAACTTACACTTTTAACAAATTTATGTGAAGTGAACATAAAAAAAAAATAAGTTGTCCCGATGAAATCTCAAGAATTGGGTTGTTTTCAGCTCAAAATAAGTTATAGAATAAATTATATTTAAATGTATTTATGTTAAAATTGCTGCTTGTTCCAACTACTTATTTAAAATAAGTCGAAACAACATAATTCTGGATATTTTATGTAAACACTTAATTGTTTTATGTTCAATCGGCATAAATTTGTTATAATAACTTAATCGATTTTTTACAGTGTGCAATAGGCATGGGGCAATGACTGTTTTCAAGGTTTACGGCGGATTGGAAAAGTCAAGGTTTAAGTAAGATATCTTTTATTTTACTGCTCCCACAGTATATGTAAGATTTTTTTTTTTTACTTTTTTTTAGGACAACAATATCTCCAGCAGAAAGGAAACCCAAAGATGGCATTTTAAATTGTAAAGAAATCTGTGTTTTTAAAACAAAGACAACAGAAGTCAATGATTTATTTAAGTTACTTAGCCTGACATGTTTACTTCTCCAAAATATTATAAATGTTCTTTAAAATAGAATATATTGTGTTCAAAGGAGAAAAAGTCTTCTTTTTTCCAGACATTTAAAAGAATATATTTTAGAGCAGTAATCACAATACCGTAAAACTGTGATATTTTATCCAAGGTTATCATGCCATCAGAATTTTACACCAGCCCCTACTCAGGGTGCAATGTTTTTGTTCAAGCTATATTTATTCTTATTACTAAGGGGTTTACACAAGTACACTATTTAAAAATGCTGGGTTCCATACAATCAATTTTTGTTGGATAAACATGAAGGAACTAAGTTCATTTATTCATTTTTACAAATTTAATTGGATTGAACATAAAACAATTAAGTTCAAAACAATTAAAACTCTGTCACAAAAAAACTCAAGAATTTAGTTGTTTCAACTAAATAAGTAGTTGAATCAAACAGCAAACATCATGTTTGGGTGTGATGTAAACTGTGCAAAAATTTTAACTATGCATCTACCATGTAAATGATCTGGTACATGTTCTAAGCTATAATTACACTGTAAAACAAAACAATAAAAATCCCTAAATTAAATAAGTGAAACAAATACTTTCAAAAGTTACTTTTACTTAATGAAAAAGAGTTATGGTAACTCATAAACTGATTATATTAAGCAGAACTCAAACCTAATGAGTTA